GGAAACAGGAAATGCAGTGAGGCAGTAGGGTAAACGAGGGTACAGTGAGGGGTTGGCCCCGATGAGTTATGCGTTGTTTAATGTGATCTGCTTTATAAACCTTCACTTAATTCACAATAAAACATTAAAAAATTTTTTAAAAATTAAAAAATAGAGAAGCTCTGTCTGTTGACCATAGTTTTATGTCAGTTGAACTTAGCATGGTCCCTTAGACTCTTTCTTCCAAGAAATATGTAAATTTGGATTGAGAACCCGGAGAAGGCAATGACTGAATGAATTGCATGACAGAGAACTAAAGAAAAAATCCATCCATACAATTATTCTGTTAGATTCCCAGAGCTGCCCTGGCCTCTCCTTTTGCAGAAGCCTGGATGCCGGACATCTCCTTGGATTCCACAAAGTGGGAGCTGAGATGCCCTCCCATGAGGTGCTCTCAATCAAATAGCAGGCATCACAAGGCTTTTCGTGACCTTGAGGGAGGAAAAAGGGGGTCTAAGATAGCGTACCTGGGAAGAGTCACAGTTTCTCATCTCCTTCTTCTTTGCTAGACGCTTCTTTTTCTTGTGAAGAGGTTTGGACTCTAAAATCATTTCTTCAAGTTCAAAGGTAGGGTCACAATTCAGCCTGCCTTTCTGTGGGGGAAGAAACAGGTTGGCTCTGTGCTCAGATTCCAGTATCTAATACACCAGCCCTAATATGGACACTAACACTGTATCTCAACCAAAAAAAAACAAGAATTACAAGCTAGGATTCCCACTCCATGCTTTATATAATTTATTACCATCATTGTTTTCATCATTCTTTGATTTGATCTTTTACTTATTTTTTTAAACTTCCAATGACCTTTCAATGATTGGGAAAGTAACCAAATTATAATTATTTTACTAAGGTTTGAGTTCTGGGGTCATTGTTCTCAAATCATGTGGATCATACAGACCTGAATCAGCTAAACTGCTTGTTCAGATTCCCAGTTCTCAAGTAACCTCTCTAAATAAACATTTCTCGAGACAAAACCTAGGAATGTGCATTTTTAACAGCCTGACACACTGACTTGGATTTCAAGTAAAGTCGAGAGGTAAGGGATTCTGTTCAGGCATGTTCAGGGTGAATCCAAGGGGTCCACCGAGAGGCGAAATGGAAGGCTCTGGAAGAGGCACCTAGAGAGACCTCCATGGAAGGTCTCCTTTATCCATGGACCATACACCCTACACCCTGCAACGTGGACAGCTAAGACCTGACCCTACTCTCCCATTGTTCTGGAAAGCATGGCAGTAGGGACAGCCTACCCTCAGGGATCCACAGTAGACTACTGAATCCCTTCTCTCCCTTTGTGTTTTCACGATGCTCATGGGGCCATCCCCTCTGCTGTTTGTACAGGAAGGAAAACGCTCCCACAAGCACCTCACTTTGACTTAACAAGAGAAAATACTGCATTGTCTCTAAGGAGTCTTTTAGAGTTCGTTTTCAGCAGTAGTCTACTTACAGTTACAAACATACCCCAGGTCCTAGGAACAGAGAAAGAATTTAAGGCCTCCTTTGGGCCCCTGACCTAAACATCCGATTCCAGCTTGGACCAGTGGTCTTCAGTAGGCTCAGCTGCCCTCCGGTAGATGCTCATGTGCAATTATTCCCCTTTAGCTATTGGTCATTATGAATGAAGCTTCATTCATAATGAAGTAGAATTTTCAGAGGAAGAGTGGCAAATGATAACAATTAGAATTTCACCCCTAATTCCAACAGTCTCTATTACTTTGACTGACAGAGTTAGTTAATTATGCCAACCTGACCGATAAACACATGTGGGGCTAATTGAAAGGCCGAGGGATAAATGGGTGGTGAGCCTCGCTTTTCTAGGGTCTCTTGCTTTGTGATGATCGCACCAGGGTGCAGCTGCCTTAGCAGTTCCCTGCTTCAGCTTGCAAGATTGACTTCCTACAAGACATCCCAAGGAGAAGCTACATGGACCTATCCTGATGCAGCCCTGGGTGCTGGAGCAGCTGTGTCGAGATCCCTGCTAGTGCTGAGATGCTTATTCGTTCACTGACCCAGCTTTCCTCCTGCAGTCGGCATCATTGCCTCTGTTTTGTGAGGTGGAGGACTCTGTAGACTGGTGTTGGGTTAATGGGTTAATGTTGGACTTGTGGGCTTGGGCAGCATTGGGTTGGGATGTTTTCGTGATGCATACTTTCTTTACATAAAACTCTCTTATACATGAGTTGCTGTGGATTTGTTTCTCTAAAGTACCTAGACTAATACAGAGAGTTACAGACATAAATATCCACATATTTAGAAAAAGAAAACATTTATAAAAAATTCAGCAGATTCACAAATATAATTATTTTTGGTTTTATACTTTCTTTCTAATAGAAGCATGGCCTCCAAAAGTGGCTAGAAACTAGGATTCCAGATACAGAAAAACTTAGATTAGAATCCCAGCCCAGTCATTTGCCAGTGTGGTAGTTACATAGTTGTATCAATATGAATATATAAAATGTAGGGGTGGAGTCTAGCCTGTCAATCAGGTCACAGCCTGGTGGTACCTCTCAGTGGGCGTGGTCTTCTCATGAGGGGGATCCTGGGAACTTCCACTCTCTCTCTGCCTTCACCTTCCTGTTGAAGATCCACACAGAGAACTGCTAGAGCCCTGTGATGCCACCACTGCTATTGAATCCACAAGACTTTGCACACACTGGCTGGCGATGTTCCTGCACTTGTATTGTTGCATGTGGCTGTGTGAGTCTGAAGACGGACTGATGGACTAGTACCAGATTTATGGACTAGCATTGGACTTATAGACTTGATCTGGACTTGGCTAGGATGTTTGTTTGACATATAATTACATCTTTTTGTTGTTTTAAATAATTGTGTCTTAATCTATATATTTGTGTCACTGTATTTGTTTCTCTAGTCAACCCGGGCTAACACGGCTGGCTAGGTGGCGTTTGGTGATGAATGTACCTGATATGTGTCTCGGTTTTCTCATCCGGAAAATTGAGATTTTGGTGCTCTTATAACATAGTGTGATCATCAAGTGAGAATATATATATGTATGTATACGCTGAAGGAAAGCGATTGTGGATGGACTGGTTAGAATTGACTCACATTAGGAATAAATCCTGGAATGAGCCTCTTCTGCAAAACTGCATCCCAGTTAATGTCATTCAAATATGGAAAGTTCTGGACATCAGACAACTGAGAAAATCGTTGGTCTGGATTGGGTTCAAGTAGCTGCCAATGAAACAAAGCAGGGAGAGCAGGTAAAAGGTTATAATTTTAGGGGCAAAAACCATATTTATTCCCATAAATGTATCCAAGTGACCAGGCTGAAGGAAACAAGGCAGTTTTCCCTCCCTCACCCTCATGAATAATTAATATGAATGATGCTTATACTATAAAATACTGTTGATAATGCATGCAGAAACCAATAATGTAGAACTAACTGTAAGGAGGTTCTTTGAAGCAAGATAGATTACCTACTAAGTCAGATAGATCTTTGATTCCCAACTCCCTATTACCAGCAATGGACAAGTTTGTTCTCAGAACATTCGTTGACCCATTAGACTAGAAAGGATAATAGTCTATGCCATGAGATTGCAACCAGGATTACCTGAGCTCTGAAAATTAAGCTGACCATCCGCATCTAGTAGGTGGCAAATGTTCATTTCCTGTAACATTTTTACAAGTAAAACTCATTTCCTACTTAAATATTTTAGCTGTTTTTATAAAGAATCAAAATACAGTGCGGGTAGGATGTAACTAAGGTTGCTGCCATAGCTCTGGCTGTTACTAACTAGTTAAGTGTTTTCCCCCCATAGTCACTCCAGCGCCAATGCGGCAGCAAACTTGTTCCATTGAGAAATGGCTGTTCCGCTGGAGAATGTTTTGCAGGTTTTGCTCAGGGTATAATTTTTTTAGGGAAAGAGACTAACTCCCTTCTCGAGAAATGTCTGTATGATTCCTGGTAGGTGAAAAGGGTAAAGTGCTCAGCCAATCTCTAAAAGGCTGAAGGGTTGAGTCTTTGAAAGAAATACGTGGAGAACGACTTCTAAAGGAGCAGCCAATGAAAGCTCTATGAGGGGCTCACACGGAGCCACCATGAGTCAGAGTCATTTCAATGGCAATTTATTTTTCTCCTATTCCTCATATTTGCATCATCAATATTAATCTTTCTATTCCAAAACAAGACACTATACCCCAAGGACAACACGCACAGGTCTGGGATCTTTAATCCCCAAATTCCATTTGCTTTAACAGCAACATCAGGTCCAAACAAGGTTCTAACTGCAAACCCAGAGTGCGTGCTCTGTTTGCTCCCCTCTGTCTGTCCTGCAGACCGCCTCCTTACCTTCTTAAGCAACGACACCATTTCCTGGGACCAGGCAGACGGGTAAGTCACAATAGCATTCTCGAAGATGTGCACAATTTCCTTGCCAGAACTACTGGAGCGGATATGATATGGTCTCTTAAAGAGGAGAAGGAGGAAGAGTCAGCACTTTTATGAGCAAAAGAAAAAAAAGGTGCTAAGAGTATTTCCAACTAAATTTTCAACCATTTAAATATTAAAGTCAGTTTCTAACCTCTCCCACCGGATGGTTGTGTTGAATACACACACACACACACACACACACACACACACATACACACACATGAGGGGTTACCCCAAAACACTAGAAGTTTTTCAAAGCTATGTATTTACCTTTTTTTTACAAAGCAACCTTATCACCTTCAAAGTACTCCACGTTACACTTAATACATTTGTCAAATCTGTGATTCCATTCTTGAAAACATTTTTGAAACATTTTCAAACATGTTTGGATGGCTGACAGCATCTCCCTCATTTTTTCTTCACTTCGTCTACCTCTTCATATCCCTGTCCTTTCATGTTCTTCTTCATTCTCAGAAACAAAAAGAAGTCACAAGGAGTGAGGTTAGGTGAGTAAGGTGTGTGGGGGTAAGAGAGGTATGCTGTTTTCTGCCAAAAAGTGGAACACTGAGATGGCTGTGTGAGCAGGTGCATTGTCATGGTGGCAAAACCAGTCTCCTCTCTGCCACAAATCAGGCCTTTTTTGTTGCACACTGTTACATAATTTTTTCATAACCTCTAAATAGAAAATTTGATGAACTGTCTGTCCTGCTGGAATGAACTCCAAATGCACTATCCCCCTCACATCACATCAGACATGGTTTTGGTTTATATATATACATATATTCCGGTGTTGCCAAATATCCATATATATATATAATAGCCCATAGATCTATATTTTCTTTTGAAGCATCTGAATTTTCAAAAGCGTGTAGTTCTACCAGGCCAAATGAAATGTTTCTGTGGGTTGAATCAGTCTTGGAGTTGCCAGTTTGGACTGACTTTGTAAAGTAACATATACAAGAGATTTGGACCAGAAATCAAGAAGGGTAAGTCTTACAAGATGACGAGTTCAGGGTTGATTACAGTGTGATTCAGAAGTGGCCCGTATGTGCCGTCCTTTTGTTCATTTGCTTGAACCCTAAGGAGGAATGACAGGATGGCAAGAGGCCCAGAAAAGTTCAAATCCAGACCCTATTGCTGTTAGTTCCTTGCTCCAGGAAGTAGACTTGAGAGCTTTTAGAAGAGATAAAGGCTTTTTAAAGTTTCTGGAACAACTAGATATTCTAATACTTTTAACTTGGTAGTGGGGGTAAAAAAAGAAAGGTGGATTAGTGATAGTTCTCAAAAATTCCCACAAGAGGGCAGCCTTTATTGGCGCTACTGTATTTGTTAAAGGACTTCTGGAGTGTTCATCTTTTCCAGTAAAGTGTGAGCTATTTGGGAGCCATGATGGTGCAGTGGATAAAGCACTCAGCCAGGAGCCAAAAGGTCGGTGATTTGAACCGACCTCCGCTCCATGAGAGAATGATGTGGTAGTCTGCTTCTGTAAAGATGCAAAAATCTCAAGGTCACTGCCTTCGAATCAGTCCCAACTCAGAATACCCAAGAGGGCAGGGGAGAACTCCCTGTGTGTTTCCCAGACTGTAACTCTTCATGGGAGTAGAAAGGCTCGTGTTTCATTCTCAAAGTAGCTGATGGTTTCACAATGCTAACCTTGTGGTTAGCAGCCCAACACATAACCCACGACTACACCAGCACTTCCAAACTTGGGAACCCTTTGGGGCAGTTAGTTTTGTCTTATAAGACTGCTATGAGTCTCAGTTGAGTTGATGGCCATGGATATTTGAATTTGGTTCAAAAACTACTTAAAGCCAGAGGTTTTACACCCTAAAGGTTTGTTAGTACTTTGCACCTAATAAACTCAAACCAAACTCAATGCTAACGAGTCGACTCTGACCCTTAGCTACCCTATAGTTGTTCAGTAAATATTCACTGAATGAAAAAAGTTTCCTTATAAGATAAACGAACTATACCTCAAACCATTGCATCAAGTTAATCTGTCCAACTTATAGTGGCCCTATAGGATAGGATACAAGACTGTAATCTCCTACAGAATCAGAATCAGACTGCCACATCTTGATCCTGAGTGGGAGCTTGTGGGTTCAAACTTTCAGAGTCTTGGTTCACAGCCAAAGTGCTTAACCACTGCTCCACCAGTTCTCTTATATCCTACTGTACAATAGTGAGCTAATATAGACATGCATATATCACGTGATTGGCCTTTCTAGATGCTTAATAAATGACTGTGGACCCATCAGCAAGCTGAGCAAATGAAGGAGCTTAAATCCCACCTCCCAACCACGCATTGTGAATCATTATTTGGTGCTTTGAGTCAGTGCCGGGTCAGGTGCACCTTAGTCCTCAAAGCAACATCTTTGTTTTGCAGCACTCTAGAGAGGTCTTGTGCTGCAGATTTTTGTAATACATCTTTTGATTTCTTGACTGCTGCTTCCATGAACATTGATTGCAGGTGCAAGCAAGACAAAATCTTTGATCACTTCAACCTTTTCTCCATTTCTCACGATGTTACCTATTGGTCCAGTTGTGAGGATTCTGGTCTTCTTTACATTGAGTCATCATTCACACTGAAGGCTGTAATCCCTGGTCTTCATCAGCAAGTGCCTCGAGTCCTTGTCTCTTTAAGAAAGCACGTGAGGTTGTTAAAAAACCTTCCTCAAATCCTGATGCCACACGCTTTCTGATGGCCCAGCTTCTGGTCCTCTCTTCAGAAGTGTCCACTTCCGCTCATTAGGCCTTCAGTAACTGCCAATGCTTGAAGTGATACATAAGGGTTTCAGGGCCTCCCTCCTTCCTTCTTTTTTGTCTATTCTTAGTTTGGAAGCTCTGCTGAAAAGTGTTCCTTTTGGGTGACCTTGCTGGCATTTGAAATACCAGTGACAGAGCTTCCAGCATCACGGCAACACATAAGCTACCACAGTGTGACAAACCGACAGACAGGTGATGGTCTATGTTGGTAGAGTCTGTAATTTCACTTAACATAATACATACACACATACAAAAACACAAATACCACATCTAGGTGCATGGGAGATATGATACAAAGAAATACTACAGTGTGCCATGACAGGCTATATTAAGCAATTCTGAAGTAAGCATATAAATTAAGAATAAACTATAAAGAATGCACGAGGTAGAAGAGGTACAATGTTAGAGGGGAGCATTGTGGTGTTGTGATGATAATCAGACATAAGGGCAATTAGGAGGATGGGATAGGTTTCTCTTGTACACAGGGCCACTAGGAATCAGAGCTGACCTGACAGCACTTAGTACCAACAATAACGATCAGCATATTTCAGAATACAATGCAAAAGTGTTTCAGCTCAGCATTAGCACAAAAATTGCACAGCTCTCCAAACTCCCCAGGTGGAGCAAACAGTTTGTGATCTTCTGCTAATCTAAGGGTTATTGGTTCAAAGCTACTTTGTGGAATAGTGGAGGAAAGGCCCAGTGTTCTGCTTCCATAAAAATTGCAGCCAAATACTTTACCTGATTTTAGGACCTACTATACAACCACAGTGGTCAAAACAGTGTGGTACTGGAATAACGACATACTCAGACCAATGGAAAAGAACTGAAAACTCAGAAATAAAAACATCAGCATACAGACAACTGATTTTGGCCTAATAAATATTAAATGGGAGGCAGATCCCCTCTTCAATAAGTGGTGCTGGAAAAACATGGATATCAACCTGCAGAAAAATGAAGCAAGACCTTGAGGTAAAAACAATTAGGGCCACTAATGAGGGAATTGGGACAAGCCTGAGGACCTTGGCATAGGGAATATATAGGCTATCAGAAATAGGAAAGGATACAATCACAGAGGAGTCACAAATAGACAAGTGGGATATACGGAAGATAAAACACCTGCGTACATTGAAAGAGTTCATCACCAACACCAAGAGAGCCCACGGACTGAGAAATCATCTTTAGCAATGACACATCAGACAAAGGCCTTCTTACTAAAATCTACAATACTTTGCTAGCTGACAGTAAGGAAAAAAAAAACAACTAATTGCCCACTAAGGAGGTGAGCAAAGAACCTGAACAGAAGTTTCACAAAGGAAGAAGTCCAAATAGCCAATAAGCATATGAAGAAATGTTCCTGATCATTAGCCATAAGAGAAATACAAATTAAAACAACTATGAGATACCACCTAACACCCTCAAAGATAGCCCAATTCAAAGTCAGAAAGCAACAAGTGCTGGTGGGGCTGTCGTGAGATAGGAACTCTCATCCACTGCTGGTGGACCTGTAGGTATGTACAGCCACTATGGAAATCGATTTGGCGATATCTACAACAGATGGAAATTGAGCTACCATATAACCCAGAAGTCCCCCTACTGGGCATATACCCAGAAGAGTCAAGAAACAAACCATAGCCAGACATCTGTGCTCCAATTTTCATCGAGGCACAATTCACAAGTGCAAGGAGTTGGAAACAACCCACATGTGCACTGCTACAGATAAGAGCCCACAACACAGGGACCCAGGACAGATAAAACCCTTAGGACCAATAATGAGAATAGAGATCAGGAGGGGAAGGGGAAGGTGGGGGGAGCAAGGGGAATAGATCACAATGATTGACATATGACACCGCCCCCCCCCCTACAGGGGGGCGAACAACAGAAAAGTGGGTGAAGGGAGACAGCAGACGATGTAAGATATGAAAATAATAATAATTTATAAATTATCAAGGGTTTATGAGGGAGGGGGAAGGGGGGAGGGAGGAAAACAATGAGGAGCTGATACCAAGGGCTCAAGTAGAAAGAAAATGCTTTGAAAATGATGTTGCCACACATGTACAAATGTGCTTGACACAATGGATGGATGGATGGATTGTGATAAGAGCTGTAAGAGTCCCCAATAAAATGATTTAATAATCATAATAAAAATTACAGCCAAGAAAACCCTATGAAGCAGTCCTGCTCTATAGCCCATGGGGTTACTCTACATTGGGATCGACGACGCTGCAGCAGCTGCCACCTGTAACAAACATACTTTTCATAAAGTAGACTCATAAATAATTGAAAGTTTCAAACCAACAAAAAACAAACACAGTGGAATAGCTGGGAGGCAGAGAGGTGGCAAAGTAGATGGACAGTGTAGTGGTTACATAATCTGGTGTCTCAATTTGAGAAGATTGTGAGTGAAGGGGTGGAGTCTGGTCTGTCAATCAAGATAAAACCAATGAGGCCTCCTTGAGGGCGTGGCCTTCTGAGAATTCTGGGAACTCCTATTTTTCCTCCTTGGAGACAGGAGACATCTTCTCACTCTACTCACTCCCTTGGAGACTCTCTACTGACAAGGTTGACTCCCTTCGAGAAGCCACATGGACCTACCCTGATGCAGCCCTGGGTACTGGAGAAGCCACATGGAGACCCCTGTCAGTGCTGAGATGCTTACAACACCACTGGATCCAAGACTTTCTACCCACTGGCCTGTGATTGTTCTGCATTCTGCATCATTGTATGTGTTTCATGAGTCTGAAGAGGACTTTACAGATTGGTATCAGACATATAGATTAATATCAAACTTATGGGCTTGGACTGGACTGGTCTGGATGCTTTCTCAATGTACAATTACCCTTTATATAAGTCTCTTTCTTAAACACATGTGAGTTTCTATGGATTTGTTTCTCTAGTCCACCTGGACTAACACAACAGCTAAGGAGTACATTCATCAAGATAAAAATCCAGTGGAGGCACTAAGGGGACATTTTCAAGCACATTTCCCCATTGAGGCATATTTTTTTCCTGCAAATAAAAATCTATAAATGAAGATGAAATTATTGCTTAACACCCTCTCATTGTGGCTTAGTTGTGTTGGTATTTGTAATGAAATGCTTATTTCAGCTTTCTCAGATATGCTAAATTTGGAAATCTCACTGCATATAGTCTAGTTGGTGATTCTTTCTGACTTTTCTGTGTCAGAATTGAGATATGGTGACTTGTTCCTCCATTCATTCAGTATCTTTTATTATAAACCTATTAAAAATTAAATTCTGGGAATATTACAACACTATGAATTTTACCTTTTAAAAATCTACAATCTAATAATGTAGATGATATAAAGCTATAAAAAAGTCTAGAAGAAGATATAGAGCTATAAAACGGGTCATATGTTTATAAAAAGATCAAGCCCTAAAAAAAGTAAATATATTTATGGATTCTGATCTTGAAAGTCACCATTTTATCTTATTAAGTGAAAAAAATAGAGAGAGAAGGATCTCAAATGAAAAGTGAAGCATAATTAATTTTTCTAAAACACTAGTAATAACAAAAAGAATGAAAGGTTTGGACTTATTAATTCTTGGATACCTCCAAGAATTGGAGATCTTAAAGGAAGAGGGGAATTATTTCCTAGTTAAAATTTTCCTTGCCTTATAATTTCTGAGTGAGTTTTATTGCATTTTGTTATTTTCTTTATTTTCCAATAATTTTCAATTCAGATGGGTAATATACACATATGCCCATATATATACCTATACTTCATGCACATATAAATCCCAATCCATATAGCATACATATCTACCGATATAACTATTCACACATTTTTATTATTGCTATTATTAACAATGCTTTATATGTTACAGTATTTATCATAAACGATTTCAAGCTCCCTGCTGCCATTGAGTCTGATTTGACTTAGAGCAACCTCATAGGACAGGGTGGAACTGCCCCCATGGGTTTCAGAGACTGTAATACTTCCTAGGAACAGAAAGCCTTGTCATTGCTCTGCGTAGAGGCCGGTGGTTTCCAACTGCAATAAACAGCCCAACACGTGACCACTATACAACCACAACACTTACTCCTACAACGCTTACTACAGCTGCCCCTTATATTCAGTACTTGTCAGTGTCTTCATTGACCTTGGTCAAGTTGTGCTGACTTCCCTCATGTCATGTGCTGCCTTTCCTGTCGTCAGAATTATCTACTATCTAGTCTGCAGTTCTTTTTCATTGAATTCTGTACAGAAGGGGACAAATCTCACCAGATGGAAGCAGGTTAGAGCTGAGTAATAGCTACATACCTGGCTTACAAATATATTCTGCTTTTCATTAACTTGAATAACTCATCAAAGTTCAAATGTGCTTAAATATATTGTGGAAACCTCCTCATGGAAGAGAGACGTAAATGCCAGGAGCGTGTCTATGTTAGATGTCAACTGTAATGTTTGGAGTGAAAGGAACAGATAAGATGATGAGATTCACTCTTTGCTTCAGAATCTCAGCTTCACTTTCCAGAGCACGGCAAAAGCATTGGGCCATGCAGAAACAGACCCAGCTTCCAGCAAGTATTATTGTAAGTGAATAAGCCATTATAAAAATAATTGGCACATTGAATGAGGAAATTTTGGTGGAGCAATATGGGACCAATGAAGAGGGCTGTTGACAGAAATAGAAAAACAGATCCCAGAAGATTAGGATGATCTGAGCTACTTCTACTGAACAAGCTCTTAAAGTTGACGGGCAACAATTATCTTCACACCATTGGCCTTAGAGGACTCTCGGATTGTATCCATCCCTGGTACATTGAGGACATACATCTTAGGGGCTGGAGGTGGGGGTGTATTGAGTTTTTTAAAATTGTGTAGCACATACACATCATATTTGTTTTACTTATAATTTTTTCTAACAGTTTTTAAAATTCAGGAAATGATTCATTTAAGAGCAAACAACTTTAATTTTCCAGTGACATCAGAATGTAGGCTATAATGACAGGAATTCAACAAGATGGGACATGAATTACACTTCATTCATAATTCACACTCTCCTTATTGATATGTGTCTGAATGGGAGTTCTGTCCTCTGACTGCAAATGACTTCCTTTATACAAATATATTCATGCAAGACACTTAGGGAAATATACGCATTCTCCACTTGGGAGTTTATAAGATCCATATATTTTCATTTAATTTTCTTTATCTATTTAATATTTACTCAGCAGCCTGTTCCCATATGTCATAATAATGCAAACATTTCAAAGGATCATATCAGCCTCAGAGGAGCATTGGAGACAAGGCACGTTACCTATTGGGTTCCTAAGCTCAAGGTTAGTAATTCTAACTCATCAGTTGCTCATGGGAGAAATGGTGTTGTTTTCTCCTGTAAAGATTTACAGTCTCAGAAACCATGCTATAAGGTCGTGATGGATCATTATCAACTCAGTGGCTGAGAGTTGGGCTTCAGAGTTCTTAAAGGGTTGCTGGTGGCACCGTTGGGTAATCTTTGCACTGTTCATCAGCAGGCAGTTCACATCCACCAGCTGCTCTGCAGGGGAGGGGTGAGGATATCTGCTCCTGTAAAGATATACAGTCTTGAAAACCCTATAGAGGGTCACTGTGAGTCAGCATCCACTCGATGACAGTAGGCTTGGTTTGGTTTGATATCTGCATTACTGGCAGTAACTGCTTTCAAACCAAAACCCCACAGCCATCTAGTCTAGTTGACGCTGACTGACGGGAACCCTGTAGGACAGGGTGAAACTGCTCTTTGAGTTTCAGAGACTGTAACACTGTAAAAAAAGAGTAGAAACCCAGTCTTTCTCCCTTAGAGTGGCTGATGGTTTCAAACAGCTGACCTTTCAGATGGAATCCCCACTCATAGCTCCTCTGCCACCAGGTCTCCCTAACTGCTTTCAGCTCTCCCCCAAATGCTTGTTTTTTAGCAAACAACTCATTTCGTTCAGAAATGGAACTTGTTGGAAGAGTAAACAAAGATAAATGTGATTTACTGTACCCGTCCTCTCAACAGCTCGTATGCTGTCACGCCCAGGGACCACCAGTCAACAGCAAAGGAATAGCCTGATTCTCTTCTGGAGTTGAACATCTCTGGTGCTAAAAACATAGAAAAATTAAATCAAGTTTATTAATAAATCTATTTTCCCCTAAGGTAAAAGATATAAATACTTTTATGGATGTTGATCAAACATTGCTAGATTGCTCACAGCAGTTACAAAACCACACAATGTTCTAATCTCTCTCAGTAGTCTCCTTCAGCAACCAACAAACTTACGCATACATAAGCCCTCATGAATAACTTAAAATTTTTTAAAGAACAGTTTCATTGGCATATAATTCACAAATCATACAATCCATCACCTTAAGAAGAGTTGTGCAATCATCACCACAATCAATTTTAGACCATTTCCTTCCTTCTTGTAGTCATTGCTATTAGCTCCCCATTTCCTTTGACCCTCCCCTGCCAAACCTTCCCAGAACCATTAATCTGGTTTTTATCTCTATAGCTTTACATATCCTTGATTTAATAAACAGAAAAACATGAAAAAACTAAATAATAACAGTAGCAAAATAAAACAGAAGAAAAACCTCAATTGAAAAGAAAGCAGAAAAATATTAAAAAACTAGACAAGTTTTTATTGAGATTTATACTTTTAGATACTAACACTGGACTGGATGGTGGTAGCTCTCAGGTTGCTGTAAGCGATGCCACCCATTTTTTAAATACCAGCAGTGTCACCCGTGATGGATGGGTTCAACTGAGCTTCCAGACTAAGACAGAGTGCCGAGAAGAAACAGGCTGCTCAACTGTAAGGAATTAGTCACTGAAAACCTCATGGAGTGCAATGGCACGTGGTCAGATAGAGTGATGGAAGACAAGCACCTCAAATCTTGTCAAAGGTAGAAAATTTGCCCAACATGAACAACCAGGGTAGTGCCACTAATTCCAGCTTCTCACAGCCTTCACTAAATCTTTTTGTGAACACACACACAGAGATAAAACAAACAAACAACAATCCCCACTGCTGTCAAGTCCATTCCTATTACGGGAACCTTTACAGGGAGCCCAAGGCTGTAATCTCTGTGGGACTGGAGAGGCTCATGTTTCTCCCACAGAGTGGATGGTGGGTTTGAACCTCAGAAATTGCATTTAGCAATTCAGTACATACCCAAATTGGAAGCAACTTGAAATATGACAGAGGAAGGGCTGATACCTCAAAGGAGTGTCAACCATAACACATGGACAGAGATATATTGTGGGACCTTCATTTGCTCACAGGGAACGACTCAAATGGAGAAGAAATGGCTGCAGATGTTCATTGTGTATATAGACTATAAGAATATATGTATGAGAAACTAGGAAACTGAAAGTTGTAAAGAATGAAAGGTAATTCATAAAGATTGATATGCTTGGTATTAGTGAGCTGAACTAGATTACTACTAGCCATTTTGAATTGGACAACCAAATGGTCTCCTATACTAGGAGTGACATATTGGGTAATAAATAAAGTGGCATTCAGGGTCAAAAAGAGTATTTCAAAATTTATCCTATTGTACAATGCTGTTAGTGATAGAATAATATCTATAAGCCTACACTGAAGACCAGTTAACACAATACTTAAACACCATTTCGAATTTAGACACCAACCATTAATGCTACAGATGAAGATATTGAATATTTTTACTAACTTCTGCAGTTTGAAATTCATCAAACATGCAGTCAAGACGCAATGCTAACTACTGGTGATTGGAATATGAAAGTTGGAAACAAAGAAGATTCCATCACTAGAAAATATGAGCATGATGACAGAAATGACACTGGGCACCACATGACAGAATTTTGCAAAATCAATAATTTATTAGTCACTGGAATGCCTTTGACAACATAAACAGCAACTACATAACATCCCTGGAATATTGTTGGAACACACAAGAATCAGAACAACAACATCTGCAGAAAGAGGTAATGGAGAAGCTCACTGTCATCAGTCAGAACAAAGCCAGAAGACTGAAACAGATCATTCACAGCCCGTATGCATATTTAAATGGGCGCAGAATAAAATTAAAACAAATCCACAAGGGCCAAAATACAATCTTTAGTATAGCTGACCTACCTGAATTTAGAGAACCTTTCAAGAATCATTGATGCGTTCAACACTGATCACTGAACCAGAACTGCTGTGCAATTATACCCAGCACATAATACATGAAGAAAGAAAAAGCTCATTAAAAACAGAAGAAAGAAAGAAAAGAAAACAACAGCTGTCAGAAGAGATTTTAAATATAGAGTAGATAATACAAATGGAAGAGATGATGAAGTAAAAGCTGAATGGAGGTTCTCCCAGAGCAGAGTGTGATGATAAAGAATTGGAATGACTTGTGAAAAAGTCTGGAGTCAGAAAAGCACAAGGAAAGAACACAGCATTTCTAAGCTGAAAGAACTGAAGAAAAATTCATACTTCCAGTTGAAATAGTGAAGGATTTTATGGCCCTATACTGAAATATGCAGGAAGTATTCAATACACAGAGTCACTGTACCAAGAGAGGAGGTCAGCCTTGCATCTTTCCAAGAGGTAGAATATAATTAAGGACGGACGGGACTGAAGGGAGCAGCGCAATTGCTCCAGTATGACAGAACACCGACGGAAACGTTCCAACAAATGGCAGCTGCACCGGCGGCCCACTTGTCTATGCCAGGATATTCATATGAGAGCTACCAGCTCATGCAACTGGGAGATTCATGTAGATGCCCATTTCAAAGAACAGTGATCTAACTGAACACAGATTTTATCAGATAATATCATTAACATCACATGCAAGTAGTATTCTGTGCAAGATCATTCAAGCAATGGTTGTAGCAGCACAATTACTTTGAGCTGCCAGAAATTCAAGGTGGATTCAGAAGTGAATTTAGAAATAGCATTGAAATGAGAGAGATCATCGCTTGTGTCAGAGAAAAATAGAAATGTGTTCATTGTGTTTCACTGACTATGCACAGGCACTCGACTGTGTGGATCATAACTAATTATGGATAAATTGTGGAAATAGCAATTTCAATACATTTAATTGTGCTCATGCAAACTTGTTCATCAACAGGCCAAGAGACAGTCATTCAAATAGTACAAGGAGATCGTGAGCAGTTCAAAATCAAGAAGGGTTGATCCATTCACCATACTTATTCCATCTGTATGCTAAGCAAATAGTCTGAGAAGCGGAACTATATGAAGAAGGATGCATCATGATTGGAGGAAGATTCATGAGCAACCTACCATATACACAGATGGCATATACCAGACACACAATGTTGCCTGCTGAAAGTGAGACACTAATTGACTAAGAACAAAGTGGAAGCACTAATTAATGGAGATCAAAGATTACAGCCTTCAGGATGAATTACCCCTCAATATAAAGGGAAAAAATATCTCCACAACTGGACCAACAAGCAACATCATGATAAATAGAGAAAAAAATGTCAAGAATTTCACAATAAAAATCAAGATATATTGCACTGGACAGATATACTGGAAATGTCTTCCTTCAAGTGTTCAAAAGCAAAGATGTCAATTTGAAGACTAAGCTGAGCCTGACCCATGCCAGGGGAAAAGGAAGATCAAAGGAGAATTGATATATTTGAATTATGGCATCAGCAAAGAATATTGCATATACCATGGACTGCCAGAAGAATAAATGCATCTGTCTTGGATCAAATATAGGCAGAATGCTTCTTAGACATGAGAAGAGCAAGGCTTCCTTTCACGTATGTGGCCATGTTATCTAGGGAGACGAGTCTGGAGAATGACATCGTTGGCAAAGCAGAGGGTCATTGAAAATGAGCAAGCCCCTCAATGAGGTTGATGGGTTGACAGTGGCTGCAACAATGGGCTCCATTGTGCGAATGACTAAGGAGCAAGCAGTTCGCTGGTACATTAGGTCACGAGGAGAAGCCAACTCAATTGTACCGAACAACAAAAACAATTTCTGTGTATTATAAGTTGGACTGTTAACCACAAGATCAGCAGTTTAGAACCCACTAGCTACTTCACAAGAGAAAGACGAGGCTGTCTGCTCCTGTAAAGACTTAAAGTCTTGGAAACTCAAGGGAAGCTCTCCTTTCCTCTGGTGACACTGTGAGTCTCAATCAACTCAATGTCAGTGGTTTGGTTTTTGGCAAATAAAATATCTAAAATGGGCAAATGCATGAAGGCCAAATGGCAAATATTGGTGGTAAACAATAGTGTTTGCCAGAGACAGATTAGATGGGAAAGTAGAAAGTTATTGTTTAAGGGCTATTGAGTTTCGGGTTCAGGTGATGAAAAGAAAAGAATTAAAAATGGATACTGGGGATGGCTCTACCTAGTGAACATAATTAACACCATTCGTTTATTCACATAAAAATTGTTGAGAAAGCAAATATCTTGTGATATGCTTTTATTTTACCACAATACAATGTTAGACTACATAAAACTAAATCAAACCGTCCTCTACTTGAACAGCAAAATTTGTAAAAAAATCTGAAGTGTTTGAACTTTGAAAGTTAGAAGTCTTGCTAAAAAACAACCCCACAGGTAGAAAACCATAAAATAAAGACTAAAAGTTTGAGGATGTTGAAAATAGTTCCTCATGTGTTAGAAAGTATCACAAAAGCAAAAATCATTTAAACAAAAGACTAAAATTTAGAAATTATCGTTGTAACAAATATAAGACATAAGGATTTAATATTCTTAACATATAAAGGACAGAGATTCTTTATAAAATTAATAAAAATTATCTTAATAGGAAAAAGATCAGCAGCTTAATGGGAAAATGGGCACAGAATATGATCAGGTAATTTATAAAAGAAGCAATTAAAGGAAGGGCATTTTAATGACACAATGAGATATCATTTTTAATTCTGTTCTTGAGAAGACTAAAGATATTGCTAATGCAGCACTTAGAGGGAATCAGGGCAGTGACTGCCCTCGGACTCGTCCAGAGAGCATGCGCAGGAATCAGTAGGAAACTTGGAAAAGGACATGCATTAACTTGTATGCCATTTGGCCAGGAATCTTTCTAATGGTGACTTATCACAAGGGATTAATTAACTTGCAAAACATAAT